TTTTTTTTTTTTTTTTGTAAACTGTGAATGTAATTATTAATGCTAACAGTATAGCAGTAATAATTATAAAAATGGAGCTCTTAATCATGATTTTACTACCATGCAATTATACCAAGTTTTCTCTCAGCGTAGATACGTTTATACATACATATGATAGGAGAATAAATATTATACGGATATTCACTGTGCGAGTTTCGAGATATATGTGTATATATACACACACACACACACACACACACACACGCGCGCTTTTTTTATCAGAACTATAACTTTAGCCGTACGCAGACGTGCCAATTCAACGCTCACTCGTGCGTGCACGCATTTGCACACGCACTGAAAGAAAAGTCTGGTTACAGATACTAAATGCATTTTGTTCAGCGTAAATATTTAGTAAATATTATTATAATAAATAGTAGACATAATAGTAATTAACTGTTTGATAATAATTAGAAAAGGAAATATTTAGGAGAGAAAAATTTCCGTTTATAATTGATTTTAGTCGCAGATCCTCCATCTGTAATGTTGATTGCGAGTCCTTTTTATCCAGCTTCAATTTTTTTATTGTTCCAGTTTTAAAAAATTCAGGATTATTTTCCAACACTTCTGTTACACGAGCAAATATTTTTTTTTTTAATTGAAATGTTAAAATCTTTATTTCATATAAACTGAAATTTGAACATGAGCAAAAATGAGGGTAAACTTCGAGAGAGAAAATTTCGCTTGTTTTAAAAAAAAAGATTCGGATCGCAAACGAAGAATCAACATTTAATCGAAATTCTATTGAAGTTATAAGTGACCATCACTTAGGCTCAATTATTGTTACCAGACTTTTTTTCAGTCCACGTATGGATGAAAAATGAAATATAACGTTTCTAGTTGGTTTTTCAGTTGGTTACGTTAACGAAACGTTTGACTGAAATTATTTCGAAACTGTAATAGCTATCACAGGTTTAATTATTATTACCAATCTTTTTTTTTGTTTTTTTTTTTCCCCAGTACACGCGTCATGTATACGCTAAAATTCGTGTGATTTCAGTTATATTAACAGAGATCATTTTTTCGACTGAAATTATTTCGAAGCTTCAGTATAACTATCATCTGGGCTTGGCTATTATATTACCAGGCTTTTTCGTCATGTATACATCGTCGTTTGTACGTGCGCGTACGCGGACGTTTAACAACCACGATCGTTAGGCCCGACGAGGACAACGTACCGAGCGCAGGCAATCGCGAGCGATAGCGTGACGCGAGGGAATCGCGATCCAGAAAGAACGTTCGCGACTGGTTACGTCGACCAACGAGCGACAGATGTTGCGAGAGGAGCTAACCGAATGTAAAAAAAAAAAAAAAAAAAGAAAGACCGCCACGAAAAACGACCAAACAATTACGTCACGTCATTTTTGCAATTTTACTCGCAAACGTTCTCGACGTATTCTCGATGGGAGCGATCGGTTACGCGGACGATCGAAATACTAACGGTCGTGATCGTAGACGTGAGACGAAAGCGCCAAGTGATGCGTCAGCCGGTGGCTCGTTGTAAGTTCCGACGAATCCGCGGGCTTTAATCATTTCCCGCATGGAAAAGTCTCAATAAGTCCCGATGTCGTTCTCTCGCTGACGCTACACGACCGGGTTATTCATGCCCGCCGTCGATATCCGCGAAGAATATTTATGTAAGAAACTGATGGCGATGCACCGAGGAACTCGCGCGTGGAAAGAATGGCTGCGGGATACGCAATTCCGACGATTGTGTAAAATGGTGTTGCCGCCGATTTGAAATTCGATGTCGCGCCGAGAGAATGTTCTGTATACGAAATCAGTTCCGTCGCGCGCGTCAGTCTACATTTCCACGCGGAGAAAACTACTTGTATAAAGAAGCTGATGCGTTTATCTCTAATAATTATCTTTGAGCGTGTACGAGAAAAAGAAGGGAAGAGAGGAGGAGGGAAAGAAAAGAATAAGGAGCAGTGACGGAAACTGTGAATAATTCATCAATGACGAAAGTTTCTTAACTCTAGCTAATTCAAGTGTTAGATAGATTGTTGTAATCAAAGTTCACTTCTTTCTTTCTTTTTTTTTTTTTTTTGAGTTAAAATAACAATTGTCAGTCCAGTTGCTCGACACATATCTTATCCATAAAATAGATACAGAAGGTATTAGATAAAAATCAACCGAGAAATGTTCAATATGAATAAACACCCATTCGAACAAAGGTCTTAATATTTTTTTAATGAGAACTTTACAATTTCCAGTTCGAGCAAAAGATGAAAGAGCATAAAAAAGTTGTTTATTATATGAATGAATTCAAGTGCTAATTCAAATGTTTGCTACGAAGCCCATTTTAGATGATCTATTATTCGCTACCAAATTCGGGACAAAATTCTATTTATAACTTTACGTGTCGTGTAACATAGAAAACATTTAAAGAAATAAAATTCACACATATACAAAATATATATCAGGATTTACTTTTAGGATATGTGACATATAAAATTATATATTGTATAAGTAGGATTTTATCTTAAATTTGATCGCAAATTATACAGATCGTTTTAAGTGACTTTTTAGATAAAGTACTCAACGTATGAAAGTTCATTTTGTTTGTAACTAAAATAGTGTCTCAGTTCAGTTATTCCAACACTTCCTGGTAGAAATTTTATGCTTTGAGCAATTATTTGAACAGTTACGTATATAATATCTACCTAGTAACTAAAAAGTAGAACTACTTAGGATCTCAGTGAAGAATGTAATGCTTTGCTAGCCGTTACTGCGCGCAAAACCTGAATCCATTTATTAAATAAGAACAATAGATGTGAATAAGCAGTATTTTAACTAATAATAATCTATTAATATACTAGATAATGACTAAGCAAGTGTCTACGAAAGAGTTACATATATTTTTATCAGGAAAACTGCTTCACCTAGATCAAACTTATCAAATTCTTATGTAATATTATTATACGTTACAACTAATAAAAATACTAAACAATAATTGGTTGTGCACTGAGAAAAATAGTTTGATTGAAAATAGACAGACACAATCAGAAGATTCTGATTGAATAATCTGATTAATACAATTAGAAACTACTGGTTTGTTCATTTTCAATCAAGCATTTTTTCTCATTGTCACATGTACGTCTACATAGAAAAACTGTATACACTTCCATCGCCTTGCAACTTACAAAGTAGACCAAAAAAAAAAGTGTAAAAAAATTCTTAATTTGTAGATGAATTTTCACCCTGGAGTGACATACGAGTGTCATACGTATGAGTGTGTGTAAATAGTGTAAATATGAGTGGCGTTCCACGGTTAATGCAGTTACGCCCATTTCGGCACCGCAAATTCGCGCACAACGTAGGAATCGCTATCGCGATGTCTGGGTCACGTCGAAAACCAATCGACTCTCGTAAGGAAGAAAACCCCTCATTGACGTTTTCCTTTCGGAAGGCACATCGTGGCCGACGGTTTTTTCTCGTCTCGACTCCTCTCGGTCGCGTTTGTCGCGCTCTCACCGGCCACCGAGGCGAAAAGCGGAGCGTCAGGAGAGCGGAGATACCCGGGGAAGTCGAATCTACATCGAAGAGAGTGACCGAGAGCGAAAAACTCCATCGCTTTCGAACAAAGTTGAAAGACGTCGGAGTATCGTCGTCAAAGTTTCGCGCGGGGGCGATTCTCTGTTCCGGAGCAAGTATATGTATACGAAATGGTATAACGTGAAAGACGCTTTTTAGGTGGATCAGGTTGCTCGCGCGTTCAAAAATAAGACGCGGCGTGCGTCGACGACGATGACGATGACGAGGACGAGGACGACGGCGAGAGAAGGCTTCCCGCAGTTTTGGAGGTTAGGTCGGCCTCCGGTCGACAGATGTTTCCAGGGTCTCGGTTTCCCATTCCGCGATTGTACAGCAAGCATGTATAGAATAGGAGCCATAGTAGGAGCTATTCAATCGACAGGACGGAGCCTGGTACGGGGGAAAGTGTGCGGACCGACAAAGTACAGGCACTGATAGACTGCCAGCCACGCAGACGTATGCTGGGGAGAGAGAAAGAGCGTGTGTACGTGCAAGAGAAAGAGACGGGGAGAGAGAGAGAGAGAGAGGGCGAGTGTATTTTGCGGATGCGAGAGAAGGGTAATGGGGATAGGGAAAGAAGAAGAGACAGGTCGTTATCAATGCGCGAAAACCTCACCAAGATACCGAGCACGAGGTATAATTCTATCTACGTCGTGGAAGATTCCTAATGATGAGTGAATTTTCGGTCTCGGTCAAGAAGAACACGAGACGGAGAAAGAGAGAGAGAGAGAGAGAGAGAGAGAGAGAGAGAGAGAGAGAGAGAGGGAGGGAGACGAAAGGGAGACGAGAACACGGACAACTTCGCGTGAGAAAGGAAGAGAAAGAGATATACGGTGGTCGAGTCGGTTGGCTGTTATCGCGAACTTCTGAAGACCAACGCGCGATCGACGTCATTAAAGAAGACACCCGGGACGAGGAGAAGATTCTCGACTTGTTTATACTTTTCGGCCACGTAGTGCGCGCGCGTATTACGTGTGCGTGTATTACATTTTCACCTCATATACGACGATGCCGGTAGAGTCCATGGCACGTATGGTTTCGCTCGCTCGTCAGCCGTTAGCCGTTCAACGTGCACGCCGTGTATATAACGTGAGCCAGGAACGGACGTTTAACGTTTACCTCTAACTCCTGTCACGTTGGCCACAACGAAGAAACTCCGACTCTACTCCGGAGTGTACTCCGAAAAAAAGCAGACTAAGGGAAAAAAAAAAAAAGAGAAAATAAGGAGGAAGCAACCGGGCGAATAAACGACCGTGGAAAATCGTCTGCCGACGGATGCCGACGGACAAATAGAAAGATAAAGAAATCTATCCCGAGAGAGACAGAGAGAGAGAGAGAGAGAGAGAGAAACTCGTACGTATACACATGTACATACACTCATACACACAAGACACATATACAGATGTACAGCTTCACTCAGTACTCACCTCTCGCTTCTTGGCCAGTGTCTCTCTCTTCAGGGACGGGCCCGACGGTCACGTAGCCGCATGTTCCGCTTATCCGCGGACTGTCTGTACCCCTGTCCGGTTTGTCGGGCACCCGTCAGCGACACACAGCCATCTTGCGTAGCGGCTGGTCTGGCTCGTCGCGCGGACGCCTTCGGTGCGGTGGCCCCCGGCGAGAGCGACTGAGAGAGAGAGGAAGAGAGAGAGAGGAGCGGCGGCGGCAGCGACGACGACGACGACGACGGCGACGACGGCGGCGGCGCGCTGCGGTGGGGGGGCAGGAGCCGCTGCTGCCGTCGAGCGACGACGACGACGACGACGACGTTCGCGACGATGACGTTCGCGCCGGCCGTTGACGGCCAGAAGGACGGAACGAGACGACACCGACAACGACGACGGCGACGACGACGAGACGACGCGGCCCCGTCGAGCAAGTGCGTGCCGCACTAACACGCGCGCAAACCACCACTGCCACCGCCGCCCGCGCCGAGCCGGCGTGCTACACGCAACACGCAGCGGCGCGTACCTCTCCTGCTCTTCTACCGCCGCACCCCCGCCCGCGCTCCCTCCGCTCACCGAAGTACCATCGGAGCGCCCCCGCGCCGTCACCGCACCACTACTGTCACTGTCACCTTTTACCACCACTGTTACTACTGTCGTCGTCGCCGTCGTCGTCGCCGTCGCCGTCGTCGTTACCGCCGCCGCTGCCGAAGTCGCCGCTACGACGGGCTACTATCGCCACCGACGTGCACGGCACTGCGCTATCACCTTTACGGTTTTCGCCACTTTCCCGCACGTTCCATCCCCGTCACGTACATCGTTCCACGCAACGAGCGGTGCCGTCGTCCGCGCGCGTGTCGTCAACGCGATCTCGTTTCACTGATTTTCGCGTATTATCGTAGGCGCGGCGGAGGCTTTCTCGTTTCGCGACGCTACACGGCGACACCGAGTCCTAGTTCCGGAGCGAGCTGTCTCGAGCGACTCCACGATCGTGCAGTCTCTTCCCTACGTCAACTCCCTTTCGCTCTTTCTTTTCCATGCACGTACACAAAGTACACACACGCACACACACATGCACACACACGCACGCACGCACACTACTCTTGGACGCACGTTTTCTTGCTCTTCTCGCGTCTTTCTCTTCCGCCTATTACGAATGTATTTCGCGACGCAGGTCGTCACTACTTTCAATCCGTTGTGAACCGCGCTCCACCACGCACTACCCGCTAATCCGCGACCGCGATCAGGCTGGGATGTGGGATCGCTGGATGGAGTCAACCGCCGCGTGACGGGACGCGGTCGGCAATTTCCGTCGCCATGCACGAATCCGCCACCAGTGCTGGGTGAATCGCGGGCGTTCGCAGCACCCCGGTTTGCGATTTCTACCGAAAAAAAAAAAATTCATCACTCGCCTTGTCTTTGAGGTTAGGAAACGATCGTCTTTTGCAACGTCGACCCGTCGCAGGCCATCTGGGCGTTCTATTTTGCGATCATTGGATTTCCTCCATTCGAAAACGCAGAAACACTTGACTTTTCCTCGATTGGCGACCCGATTCTGCCGATTGGAGACTGATGACTTCCGCCGGAAATTTACGTAAACAAGATATTCTATAACCGAGTTGTATATATCGTTAATGTAAAAAATATTTGAACAAGAGACACTTGTTTATGAAAAAGTCTTATTTGTAGAACACATACATTAATTAGTAATTTATTAACAATGGAGTAACGTTCTGTTCTAATGTTAAACAAAAGAGCTCCGCGAAAATAATCAAGTTCAATTTCTCGATTATTTAAATACTTTTTGTGAGTCTAAATAATTTTTCATTTGTCGTTTATTATTACGATAATATATTTTAACATTATTATACGTTTTATAAGTAAAAGAATTTTCAGAAATGTACAATCTATCTCTTTATTAATAATTTTTTTTATTAATAATGTTTACTTTCTAAAAATATGGTTTAAAAAAAAAATATTGGTACAAATACTGTACTCGCATTGGCCGCGCAATGAATAATTTTAATCATGGCTCGTTTGTTTATTGAATAGAAATCCGAAAAATTTCGTTGAATATCTCAAATTGTGTCAAAACTTTTTCAATGTTTCATATCGGTTTAATCTCATTTTATCCCATGTTTACGTTCTCTCAACCGCGATATATGTAAAACGCATAAAGATAATAAAAGAGAAATCCACGGATTATGTCGTGTCAGTTGATTATCTCTTATTTTATTGTTTCGATAATCCCCCACTTACGTTTTCGCTACTCTTGCTTTTCGACTTTTCAAACATATAGATATCTTTTATATTTTCATCGAAGCAAATTTCGTCTATGACTAATTCTAAAACACCTAAATACGAGTACGTATGCTGCTGAGAGAATACATGACTATGACAAAACGACAATAATTATCTACTTCACAGCCCGATTTAAGATTTCTAACTTTTAGAAATTCTATAATTGGAACCTACACGATAAAACGTGTCTTGCACATTCATAAATTTAAAATTTAAAAAATTATGAAACTTTGGCAATACAAAGAAGAGGATCCTGACATGTAGTAACAAATTTTGTTTCCTGCCTGAATTCACTCTGAAGGGATAAAGTCAACTTTTGAAAATTATTTTCTGTTCTTGTTTTTTATTATTCATCAACAATGGAAGATAGAGCAAAATTTTAGAAAGAAAATTTGGTAAATATTAGGTTAAGTAAAAAGTCATCGCGTTTTTTTAAAAGACATCTATCAGTAAAAACCGCAATTACTTTCTTACCAACAATATAAATATATCTTGATAGAGTAAAGTTTCAGCTTTAAAAATCTCTTTTTTAAATTATACGATACGACAATTTTTAATGGAGTTATGAGCAATTAAAGTCAAAATAATTCTTTTATTTAATCCGCGATAACTCAGTAATCAAAAGT